TGCACGCACGCACGCACGCACGCACGCAAGCACGCACACACAGACAGACACACAGACACACAGACACATAGACACACAGACACACACACACACAGGCAAGCGCAGTCCTCGTTTCTAATTCCGGTCATTTCCAATTCGGGCCACGAATTAGAAACGAGAGGTGCCGACTGGATGGGGTCGGCAGCGTTGTTCCCACGAATTAGAGATGAGCGCTCTGTATGCTTACACTTCCACATACCACACACAAACACACAAAGACACACACACACACGGGCTGCTAAGGCCACACGCGGAAGGCGCGGAGGCCACTCGCCGGGTAGACGTGCGGACTGCCGGCGTGTCCGTGTACGCAAGGGCGGGGCGCTGGCAAGCCACGCGGCCACACTGTGTGTCCAGATCTCGCCTACAGTAGGGGCCCGACCACAAGAAACCTTCCACAAGAAACCCAACCATGAGACCCCAGGATGTCCATTGGTTTTTTGATGTTTTTGGTGTGGGAACGTCACGCCTTCCATAGCAACACCATCGAAAACCAAGAAACCCAGGGCACCCTGGAGGCGAGCAGGGTGTTTCTTGGCATGGGTCCCAACTGCAGGTCGGCCACACTGTCGTGACTTTCCCCGTCGTGTCGCAAATAAGTCCACGTTTCTATTCCGTTAGGTGCGCTCCCTGGGCCACGAGCTGCTCTGAGGCTCATACCCCTAGACTGCAAGTAGATTGCCAGCTTGTTTTGTTGACGTCCCTCACCCTTCTCCTGCTGCTCCTTCTCCCCCTCCCGGAGGGTGAGTAGAGGGAATCCCGAACCCGCATTCGTTCTTCTCCTCCTCCTCCTCCTCCTCCTCCTCCTCCTCCTCCTCCTCCTCCTCCTCCTCCTCCTCCTCCCTCTCCGCGCCCTCCCTGGTGGAGGACCAGGACCTGCCACCGCGCCTTGAGCACGGGTCCTCACGCAGCATACGTTTCCCGCCCACAAGGGACGCTGAGGCCGCCACCCAGCAGAACGGGAGCTCCGCTCCCTGGCGCAGCCCACGCCGTCCCGCGCCCTGCTCCCGCGGCTGCCCCGGCTCCAGCTTGCCGCCGGCGGCCTCGGGCGGGCTGCGAGACCGCGGGGCCCCCTTGCCGACCTCGGCGCCTCGCACCGCGCGAGGGCGGGTACCCAGATCTCCGACGATATGATTCGCTCAATGCGGCGTTGTTTCCTCGATGTCGACCTCCAGGGCCCGTTATCGAGCCGGGGACCACCAAACATGGATCCTAGACGAAGAAGCACCCCGGGGCACCGCGCGAGGGCGCGACCATAGTTAGAGGAACACCAACTGGCATAAACATGAACTTTCCCTCCCTGGGCGCCGCCAGGGGGGCCCAACACCGATCCAAGAAATGGAGGCGGAACTCAGAGACATTATGCTTAAGCCGCGCTTTGATCTTCGAGGAACTGGTGTCGGCCTTCGTCCCCAGTCTTCTCGTATTCTAAAAGTGCAGGCAGTTATGTTAAAGTTCACTCGTCTGGGGCCCAGGCGCCGATCCGAGAAATCTGCGCGGGGCTCCAAAAGGCGGTGCTCATGCCGTTTTCCTCCTGCGGATGCCTGCGCGCCGATGCGCGCCCCCCTTCGCGCCCCCGCAGGTGGCCTGGACTGGCAGGCGAGGGGGTGCCCCCGCAGACGAGCCCCTGCTTTTCGCACACGGGCTCGTCACCCTCTTGATGCGCCATCAGCGTCTGTATGATAAGGAACTTTTGCTTCGCGTGTCGCGGCGGCAGCACCGGCGACACGAGATGCCCTGCAAGCGGATAGCGTGTCGCTACGCTCCGCGGGGCGGGAGGTCGGGAAAGGCGCGGGACGTTGACGCCTGGGGACTGGGACGTGGATAGCGTGTCGCGCCGCAGCGCGGTGGACCAGAACGGGCGGCGCGACACGCTAAGCCAAAAATCCAGACCGTAGTCGCGGCCCCAGCGGCATCAACCCTGGCTCGCAAATCCTTGGTTACCTCTTCAAGATCAGGCGGGTGGGCGAGTGGGGGCGAACGATGTTACGCTGTCTGGTGCGCAGCTGAACGCGGAGCGCACTGAGCGGCCGCCTGCTGAACTCACGCTTATTGAATTTGTATCAATTACGTAGGACCCCGCAGTTGCGGATAAGAGTAAGGGGAACGTCGGCAGGGTCGCGGGGTGGGTCGCGGGGTGGGTCGCGGGTGGGTCGCGGGTGGGTCGTGGGTGGGTCGCGGGCCGGGTCGCGGGTGGGTCGCGGGCTGGGTCGCGGGTGGGTCGCGGGTGGTTCGCGGGTGGGTCAGGGGCGGGTAGCGGGGTGGGTCGCGGGTGCGTTGCGGGTGGGCCGCGGGCCGGGTCGCGGGTGGGTCGCGGGTGAGTCGCGGATGGGTCACGTGCCGGGTCCAGGGGGGGAACCGATAACAAACAACATATAACAAGCGAGACGCAACAAGCAACACACAGCAAACACGCAACGAACAGCAAACAACAACAACCAACAACAACCAACAGCAACAACCAACAACAACAACCAACAACCAACAACCACAACCACAACACCACCAACAAAAACAATAACAACAATAACCCTACGAAAACCAATGCCAATAACAGCAACAACAATAACGACGACGACGACAACAACACCAACACCAGCACCACCAACAACAACCACATCAACAACAGCAATTACAACCACAACATCAACAACACTCATGCTGCGACTGTTCGCTCTGATCTGCTCGCGTGCCATTCAAAACATATATCCCACACCCTCGATACCGACCCTCGTCGTCTTCTATCCTGCCCCCTTAGGGGTACACCTTTCCTACCTGCAACGTGTATTTCGTGCAGCCCCTGAAACAGGGGAAGGGAGGACTGATGGAAGGACGGGACAAGGGGGAGGGAGCAGGATAGAGCACGATAAGGAGATACGGAGTAGGAGGAGGGGGGCTTGGAGCAGAAAACACGTGGCAGAACCAGACGGGCAGATCGGACGGATAGACCCTAACAGCGGGTCGGGAAGGGGGGCCCAAGCGGCCAGGTCGAGCAGGCGGGTTGCTGAAGCGTGCGTCCTGCATGAATCGCGAGGAAGTCTCGAGCAATAGCGCGATTCCCAAATGTTTGCCAGCGTGGACCCCAAACAGTAGACAGTAGGTTCTTGCAATATGTGCGGGGCAATCTATGTGGTGCAGTTAATCTTGACCGTCTTGAAACTGTCCACTCCACTGCTCGCGCAAACATCCCACCCACCCACCCGCAACTTGGTTTGCAAAATCTCTTAAGCCCGTGACGGTGGGTACCACATGGCACTTGGCAACAACAGCGACGCCGACGACGACAGCGACAACGACGATGACGACGCCGCCGACAACGACTACGACGACACCGACGACGTCTCCAACGACTTCGACGACGCCGACAACGACGACGACGACGACACCGACGACGACGACGACACCGACGCCGACGACGACGACGATGACAACGACGACGACGATGACGACGCCGACGACGACGATAACGACGACACCGACGACGACGACGACGTCAACGACGCCGACGACGACGACGACGACGACGACGGCGGCGACGACGACGACGCCGACGTCGACGACGACGAAGACGACAACGACGCCGACGCCGACGACGACGACGAAGACGACGACGACGTCGCCAACGAAGACAACGAGGAAGGAGGGAGGACGACGACGGCGACAACGACGACAACGACGAGGGAGGAGGGAGGACGGCGACGACGCGAACGACGAAGAAGGAGGAAGGACGGCGACGCCGACGACGGCAACGACGAGGGAGGAGGGAAGACGACGACGACGACGACGACGACGACGACGACGACGGCGACGAAATAGGAGGGACGACGACGAGACGCCGACGACGGACGACGACGACGACGACGGGAGGGAGGAGGAGGAGGACGACCACGGCGACAACGACGACGGAAACGACCACGACGCCAAAGAGGACGACGACGACGAACACGAGGAAAGACAGAGGACGACGTAGGCGACGACGACGACGACAACGATGCGGGAGGAGGGAGGACGGCGACGACGACGACGACGCAAGAGCACGCGCGCACGCTTTTGTTGAAAATCCGTGTTGCGAAACCTTGTGTTCGGACATATTTCGACATGCGCACGGCACACGCGCAAGGGCGTTCGACAGATTTCGACATGCGCGCGCGCGAAGCCCGTTAGGTAGCATGTTGTGAAAATCTTGAAAAACCTATTGTTTTCTGAAGATTTCGCAAGAACTTTCGCGGAAGCTTGTTTAGCAACTCTGTGTTGCGAAACCCTGTGTTTTTGTATGTGTTTTGGAAACTCCATTGCGAAATCCTTCCGGCACCGAGGGTTTTTTTAAAGGATTTCGGCATGCGCGCGCGCGACGACGCGCGCGTGTGCACTCCGTCCCATTTTTTGCAAGGGATTCGTGAACAAGTGTTATGTTAGAACAAAAAATGTAATCGCATAGTGTTTGTTACAAGGGAACCTCAGGGGGGGGAAACCGGCCTAGCTGGGATGATACGATTTCATATTTAGGATGGACGAGTGTGCAGAATATATATATATATATATATATATATATATATATATATATATATATATATGAAATTATACTATCCCAAGGGGAAGCGTTAAGTCCGGGGGGGGGTAGAGTCTATTCTCTTTTGAGAAAGGAGAGTTGACTACCCTGCACCGCGCCTGACCACCTCCACTGCTCGCGCAAACATCCCACCCACCCACCCGCAACTTGGTCGCAAGACTTCTTAAGACAAGACCGTGACGGTAGGTACCACATGGCACTTGGCCACGACACCGACGCCGACGACGACAGCGACAACGACGACGACGGCGCCGCCGACACCGACTACGACGACGACGACGACGTCGACGTCGACGAAGACGATGACGACGCCGACGCCGACGACGACGACGAAGACGACGACGACGACGTCGCCAACGAAGACGACGACGAGGGAGGAGGGAGGACGACGACGGCGACAACGACGACAACGACGATGGATGAGGGAAGACGGCGACGACGCGAACGACGAAGAAGGAGGAAGGACGGCGACGCCGACGACGACAACGACGAGGGAGGAGGGAAGACGAAGACGACGACAACGACGACGAAGACGACGACGACGGCGACGAAATAGGAGGGACGACGACAAGACGCCGACGACGGACGACGACGACGACGAGGGAGGAGGATAACGACGAGGGAGGAGTGAAGACGACGACGACGACGACGACGGCGACGAAATAGGAGGGACAACGACGAAACGCCGACGAAGACGACGAGGGAGGAAAGACGACCACGGCGACAACGACGACGGAAGCGACGACGACGCCAAGACGACGACGACGACGAGGAAAGACAGAAGACGACGACGGCGACGACGACGACGAGGGAAGAGGGAGGACGACGACGACGACGACGCAAGAGCGCGCGCGCAAGCTTTTGTTGAAAATCCGTGTTGCGAAACCTTGGGTTTTTGTAGGTTTTTTGGACGCGCGATTTTGAATTCCTTCCGAAACCGATGGGTTTTGAAGGATTTCGGCGTACGCGCGCGACGACGCGCGCGTCTGCACTTTGTCAAATTTTTGCAGAGGATTCTCGCGACGGCACACGCGAAGGGGGGTTCGACAGATTTCGACATGCGCGCGCGCGACGCCCGTTTGGTAGCATTTTGTGAAAATATTGAAAAACCCATGGTTTTCTTCAGATTTCGCAAGAGCTCGCGCGGAAGCTTTTTTAGCAAATCAGTGTTGCGAAACCATGTGTTTTCATATGTTTTTGGAAACTCGATTGCGAAATCCTTCCGGCACCGAAGGTTTTTGAAGGATTACGGCATGCGCGCGCGACGACGCGCGCGTGTGCACTTCGTCCCATTTGTTGCAAGGGATTCGTGAACAAGTGTTATGTTAGAACAAAAAATATCACAGCATAGTGTTTTTTTACACGGGACCCTCAGGGGGGGGAAACCGGCCTGCCTGGGATGGTATGATTTCATATTTAGGATGGACGAGTGTGCAGAATATATATATATATATATATATATATATTATGCTG